GTGTTTTTGTTCGGGAGGTTTTGTACTCGTTCAGAAGATGCATAATAACGCCCCCGAGTGTATAACAGTGAAAACACGAAAAGCCCTAAAAACTCGTCTTTGGCGGGGAAGCGTTGTCTTCTAAAAGACGAGATAACTCGTCAATGGCGGGGAAAGAGTTAATTGGTCCGAGAGTTCCCTGAGGTGTTTGTTTCTTGTGCCGTGACGTGTGCAATGAGTTGAACTTTACGTCTAAGTCGTCTAAGTGTCCCGAAGTGACCAAACTTGAGATACCTTGTTTATCTGTTCTTTCTCCCATTTCTCCACTGTGCGCTTTGACTCTTCTTCCACGGGATGCACATAAGCGCTTTGTGCCGCTCTGTATTGGAGCCATACCCTTCCGTATTATAATACTTTTGCGCAATGAAAGATTATGAATAGTCTTTCTTGTTCTGTCCTATCTGTCATATGTTGCTGCCTTCATTACTGTGCTATACATTTAAAGCAATGTCTTTTAACTTTATAGTATAGTATATAGTATTTGTTTTTCATGAATTTTTCAACAATACAAAGAGCAATGTGTAACATTCTACCAGATTTATTACTACACTTATTAACTTTTATTTATTCCCCACTAAATAATGTTTTTTCTCTAAATGTTTAGATTTTATAAAATTCGGATCGGATCGGATCAGATCAGTATCGGCTGATACTCCGAATTTTCGGTATCGGATCGGATTGGTTCTGTAAAAATGGTATAGTTGCATCCCTACTCTAAAGCGTCTTCCCGAAGGAAGAAGTTGGTACTCTGAGTGAAGGACATGAGTGGGATCTGGAATAATTGTTTGAGCCTGTCTGATAACTGTTTCATCAAAAAGAGCCTGAAGTGTGGGATGCTTAACTCCCATAATTTTCATGGCTCTCTGTGTTAGCCATGTAATCTGGGCTTTCAAATGTACACTAAGATTGCCCAACCTGGCTGAGATGCCATAGCGAAAAATGCTCTTGATTACAGCATGATAAAAGAGAGGCAACACTTTCTGGTTAACACCAAAACCCTCAGCCTACGGAGAAAATATAGTCACTGTTGGACCCTAATACAGACATTTTCCACCTGAACTCTCCATTTCAGTTTATCATCAATGTGAATGCCCAGATATCTGTAAGAGTCCACCTGGGCTATATTCTGATCTTTAATGACCACTGGTGGTCATTTGAGGTCGTCTCCACTGTTTTCTTCATATTAATGATAAGAAAATGATTATCACACCACTGAACAAAATTCTGAACCTCATGTTTGTAAGTAACAACATCTGATGTATCAGATATGTTAACGGAACATGCCCAAGAAGGGACTACTTTTATTACACCATCCGGGTTGTACTCTTACTCCATTATGAACGCGCCGGCAGACGTGCAAAGGTTAATGAATCAGGTAGTTTCTTCTTCTTCTTCCTCTTCTTCTTCTGATGATGGGGGGGAAAAGACTTATATAGGCAGTCGGCTCCACCCATTTTGGTGGGCTGAAATGCCATTTGTTCTTGAAGCTACACAAACGTTAACAAACCAGGCAAATCAGAGTTTCCCCAAAGCGTGTTCACACAATGTGACAGACCGTATTGAAAGGTAATCCAGTTTGAATGTCAACAGCTCTGTTTTCTCTCATATTGGCTCATATCTGTGATCATTGTGTTTGTGAAGATGTCCTGAATGAAGTGACTCCAGATCTCCAGCTCTCAGGTACAACATTCAGAGCTTTTGCTTTCTAATATTGTTTTATTATTGTTGTAGATCAGCTGATTTTATTGGGCTGTTTGTACAGATCTGCTGATTTTCTATTGTATCTAGATCAGCTGTGGTGGATTTCTGCTCTGATCTTCATTGTTCTTCTGGTTGTGGTCTGTTTCATTCTGATCAAACTTGAGATACCTTGTTTATCTGTTCTTTCTCCCATTTCTCGTAGTGCTTTAGTAACTGTGGAGCAGAGAGATACTGCTTTACAATCTCTGTTCCCTGCTGTGGTGCCCCCATGGAGGTGTAGAGTGTGGCGAATGGCTACTTTATACAGGATGAATTGTTGTTGAGGAAGTGGAGTCATCAAAGGGAAGATTTCTGCAACAAGGCAATAATTCAGGTAGCGGTGCCTGTTGAATTTAAAGAGGTGGTATTAAATGCTGCCCATGGTGATGTTGCGGGCCATTTGGGAGTGAAAAAAAACATATTATCGGGTTTTGCAGCAATTTTATTAGCCTCGTCTAAAAAACGATGTCGCAGTATTTATTCAAATGTGTCATGTCTGTCAGGTGGGGGGTAAACCCAATCAAGTTTTAAAGCCTGTGCCGTTGTGTCTGATGCCAGTTATCAGTCAACTGTTCAAACATATAATAGTTGACTGTGTGGGCTCTTTGCCTCCATCAAAATCAGGTAACTCGTGTTTGCTTACAGTTATGTGTCAGACAACCCGTTATCCTGCAGTGTATCCTTTGCGTAGGATCACTACTAAGGCCATGGTTAAAGCTTTAACGCAATTTATTTCGATTTTTGGGATACCTAAGGTTGTGCAGAGCGATTAAGGGACCAATTTTACTTCAGGAATGTTTGCGGAGGTTTTGAAGCGGCTTGGTGTGAAACACAATCAGTCTGGAGCGTATCACGCACAAAGTCACCAAAGTCAGCGGCTCGGGAAGTCATACAAGAGAGATTGGGTTTCAGTCCAAACCAGTTGGTTTTTGGTCACACGGTGCGGGGACCTCTTGCAGTTTTGCAAGAAGAATTAAAGAGTGAAAAGCCACCTAAAAATTTGTTGGATTATGTTCATGGATTTTGTAGGCGTTTGTTTTTGGCAGGACAAAAAGCATGAGAACATCTTTTAAAGGCGCAAATTAAAATGAAAAAATAGTTGTACGAAATGTCGTGATTTCAGTCCAGGTGATCATGTATTCGTTTTGCTGCCTTCACCTGGATCTCTGTTTTTTGCAAGATTTTATGGACCATAAACGAAAGATATCTGAGCAAGACTATATAATTGCGACTCCTGATTGAAAGATGTCTAATCAGCTTTGTCATGCCAGTCTGCTTAAAAACCATATTTCCCTCGTAATGCAGACATAAGGATAGATCCTGTTTTAGTTGCCACTATGGCATTTGAGAAGCCTTCTAATTCTCCTGGTGTTGGTGAGGATTTTAAGGCACAGTGAGTTGTTACTGCACCTGAAAAATTCAGAAACTCTGGAAAACTTTGAGAATTTATGAAGTCATTTGCCCAATGAATATAGATCAGAATTAACTCGCTTAGTGACTGATTTTCCCATTTTGTTTGGAGATGTACTATCGCGCACACCTCTAATACATCATGATGTGGACGTGGGTGATGCGATACCAATACGACAGCGTTTCTATTGGGTTCCTTTTGAGAAATGGTAGGCATTAGAAACTGAGGTCCAGTATATGCTTGACAACGGAATAGCCCAACCTTCGTTTTCTAGCTGGGCATCACCCTGTTTGCTAGTAAAAGAATCGGATGGTACATATAGTGTTTGTACGGACTACTGAAAGTTGAATAAAATAATAGAGCCCGATGCGTTTTCTTTTCCCCATGCGGAGGATTGCATTGACCAAGTGGGTGCATCCAAGTCTGTGAGTAAGTTGGATCTTTTGAAAGGGTACTGGCAGGTGCCGTTAGATTAGATTAGATTAGATCAACTTTACAATACATAAAGTATAATAAATACAATTAAATTGCACACTACCCATCGTGCAACACACCTTAATCATCATAATCACATATAGTTACCACATGCATACACCAGAAAGGGAGAAAAAAATTAGCTTATATAATTATTAACCTCTAGCTACCTTGTCATTTAATACTTTAATGGACAAATGGACAAAGGAGTTCTTAAAACAGTTAAGCCTACACTGAGGAACTCTAAAGTAGGGATGCATCGATCCGATATTCTTTGTATCTAGATCAGCTGTGGTGGATTTCTGCTCTGATCTTCATTGTTCTTCTGGTTGTGGTCTGTTTCATTCTGCGTAAAAGGAACTTCAGGTGAGTCATGAGTCTTTAATTGTGTCAGAGACACTTTAAAATAGTCATGAAAATCTAATTATGATTATTAGAAACCAAGATAAGTGAAAATATAATTTATGATTTAACCACTTCAACAGACTATATGACCTATCTATCTGCCTTAAGTCATATTTAACGATGAAATCAGAGGTCTAAACTTTAATATCTCTGAATAAATATAATGATATTTAATAATAAGTGTTTTCAGGTGTTTTTTGAAGGCAGTGCCGTCTGTCTGTCAGCGTGAGGATGATCCAGAAAACAGGAGAGTGAATCAGACTGACAGACAGAAAGAGTTGAAGTGAGTTTGACTGAATCATATGATCGTTTGTGAAACAGACGGATGATGTTTGAATCTTCAGCTCAGACTCAATGAATGAAGCTTGATCTGCTGAAACTGATTGTGTTTCTCTCAGGGATCCAGAATCTGGTGCCCAAATGCAGCTCAGATCGGATGAATCTGATTCACTGCAGGAATCTGAGCAGTTCATTGCCTCTGTGTCCAGAAGATGATCATTCATACATGAATCAAACTCAGAGTCACTCAGTAGAGAGAGTTTTGCTTCATTCTGGACATCTATTCTCATTCCTGCATCTCTTCTCATGCAGTTACATCCCTGATCTTGAATCTGTTGTGTTTCTGCTGATCTCTGATCATCTCCTGCATTCTCCCTCCGGAAAGAAAATCTCCATTTTAAAATGATTAATTAAACAGAGTTTCATCAGGTCATCATCCACTAAATGAAGACAGATATACAGCTGAAAGACTTTAATTCAACCATGTGTGGTTAATAAGTACAGTATGGTGATTATAATGTTAAATGTAACGCTAACACACTATAACTGATCAGTGTTGCCAGATTGGATGGACGATTTCCAGCCCAAAAGCTCACAAAAACCCGCCTAAAAACCGCCCAAACTTTAACTGTCAAAATAATGTGATGGAATATGTAAATCAAGGCTAATAAAGGCCATTTTTAACTCCTTAAAACAAAATAATATAAATATGACGTTAGATAAATTTCCCAGTAACGGATCAAATCGGGGCGAATAGCCTACATTAAAGAGAATTAGGCTACCGAACATGAATAAAATATGCAAGCAGACGGCAATCAATAAATTAACCAATACCCTCGAAACAACACATGCATCATTTTTTATGTCAGTCAGAATAATCCAATTTAAATGCAAAAAGTGCCCAATACAAGTGATAGGAAAAAGCAACGGATTTAGCAGGTATTTCCCACTCGTTCATGCACACACCATGACAGTCAAAACTGTGACAATTAACAAAAATAACAACAACAATAATGCGCTTACCTTC